TTGTCGTGTTATGCTATATCATGATGCCCATCATAGCCCAACATTCCAGCCTCCAGTTCCCCTTTGTGGGTCTCCAAGAAAGCTATGGGAGGATGTGTACACAGCAATAGAGGATGCAAGGCATTTGGTTTATATTGCAGGCTGGTCTTTCAATCCCAAGATGGTTTTGGTATGAACATTTGATTGCACAAAAGTGCACACTATCTATATACATATATAATATTATATCGTAACAATTAGAGAGTACAAATATGGTTCTTGTGTTCTTGAGCAGGTTCGTGATCCTGAATCAGATATCCGTCATGCAAGAGGTATCAAGATCGGTGAACTATTGAAGAGGAAAGCTGAGGAAGGAGTAGCTGTGAGAATCATGCTTTGGAACGACGAAACATCTTTGCCAATAATAAAGAACAAAGGGCTGATGAGAACACATGATGAAGATGCCTTCGCTTACTTCAAAAATACCAAAGTTATATGCAAGTTATGCCCAAGATTACACAACAAATTCCCCACTGTATTTGCTCACCACCAGAAGACTATATCTGTGGACACAAGAGCACATGAATCTGCAGCTGAAAGAGAGATCATGAGCTTTGTTGGTGGACTAGATCTTTGTGATGGCCGCTATGATACAGAGAAGCATTCCTTGTTCCAGACACTTAACACAGAATCCCACTGCTATGATTTCTATCAGACAAATATTGCAGGATCTAGCCTGAAAAAAGGAGGGCCAAGAGAGCCATGGCACGATTGTCATGCCTGTATAACAGGCGAAGCTGCTTGGGATGTATTGGCCAATTTTGAGCAAAGATGGACAAAACAATGTGACCCTTCTTTGCTTGTCTCTACAAGTATCACTCAAAATCTTGCACAACAAGCATTTCCTTCAACTACATCCAATGAAAGGAATTGGAAAGTGCAAGTGTTTCGATCAATAGACCACGTGTCAACGATCAAGATGGTGAAAAACTTAAGCGTGGAACGAAGCATCCATCAAGCTTATGTAGAAGCAATAAGGAGGGCTGAGAAGTTCATCTACATTGAGAACCAATATTTCATTGGAGGATGCCATTTATGGGAGAAGGACAGGCATTGCGGATGCAGAAACTTGATCCCTGTAGAAATTGCACTCAAAGTAGCGAACAAGATCAAGTCAAAAGAGAGGTTTGCAGTGTATATATTGATACCTATGTGGCCTGAAGGAGTGCCTGAAAGTGAATCAGTCCAAGATATACTGCACTGGACAAGGGAAACAATGTCAATGATGTATAAGCTCATCGGTGAAGCCATTAAAGAGAGTGGTGAGGCAGGTCATCCACAAGATTATTTGAACTTTTTCTGCCTCGCAAATAGGGAAGAAGAGAACAAAGGAGAATATGTGCCTCCATGTTCTCCTCACCCCTTGACACAGTACTGGAATGCCCAGAAGCACAGAAGGTTTATGGTATATGTCCACTCCAAGCTAATGATCGGTATGTCAATTTCTGTGTTAAGCAAATAACTGAATATACATTTTCTATCAGCATAAATATTTAGTTTCATTAATTATTTAAAAGTATCTTCCTTTCATATTATTTCTCAGTGGATGATGAATACCTTCTAATCGGATCAGCCAACATAAACCAACGATCCATGGACGGGCAACGGGACACTGAAATTGCAATAGGATGTTACCAGCTCAAAACTGATAATGATCATGAAATCAAAACCATAAGCTCTGGTGATGTACATGCTTACCGTATGACACTCTGGTATGAGCATGCTGGACTAATTGAAGCATCATTTTACATGCCTCAAAGCCTGGAATGTGTGCATAGAATACGATCCATTGGACAAAAAATGTGGAAAATTTACAGTGGAGAAGAAGTTGTTGACATGGAAGGGGTGCACCTTGTAACATACCCCATTGAAGTAACGGAGGAAGGTTTGGTTGAAGATCTGGTTGATAATGATGGCAATTTTCCTGATACAAAAACTCCAGTTAAGGGAAGGAGATCAAAAATGCTGCCACCAATTTTCACCACATAGTTGCCATTGTCGTCATTATCATCACACCTAGCAGCATTAATACTGTTTTAGAAATTAACACACAGGGAGGTGAATTAACATTTGACATTAAACATCAACATACTGTAATCAAAATGCTAAAAATTTCAAAAATTGCAGAACATGATGCCAGTTCTCTTCTTGACTAATACTCAGAACCCAAAGTCTTTTTTGGCGCTGCTTACTAGTCAATTTAGATTAGAGAGCATCTGCCAAGGGAGCAAAAAAAAATAATAA